TTTCTCCAGCTGATAGTAGGAGTCCATTCCTACAGGTGTCTCTCTCGGGGACGCATTTGGCTATATATTGGGATATGTGCATGTGTGCCTGGCATGGTTTAAAATGCCCTTGTGGTAAAATGCCCATCATGTTGCCCCTGGGACGTATTACAAAGAAACTGAAGTATTTAAAGGTGGTCTAGTGTAGGAAATAATGCTTTCAAATTTAAGACCAAACTAGTCAAACTAAAAACATTGCTCACTTGGAGAAATGTTGCCATTTGGACTGTTTAGGTCTAAAATTGTGAATTTGTTTTGAATTCCCAACAATTCCCTGTTTGACCCTATGAGCTCCAGGTATTCCTTACTCAAAATATTCCTCCCCCCCCCGCTTGCCAGTATAAAGTGATGGTAACAGATATGACATTATAATTTACACATCATATTAGGGCCCTGAGCACCTGTGTCACTTCAGTAGGGACAGGAGTGGCGGGGTGTCTTCTTTTCAATATATCAAAATATTGGTCCCCCTGCCACCTTCACCTACTGAATAGTATTATTAGTATTATTATTTAATTTTTTCCATTTCAAATAGTTGGGACTGTAAGTCTGCTTTTAATTAAAAATAATTTTTATTTAATGAATATACTGTGTTCAAGCACACTAGTTAAAATTAATAGTTATTTTAAAACGGCTCAACAATTTACATAGTCAGAAAATGCATTTAAAAATCTAATTAACCCCCCCCCCCCACATATTTTGCAAATAGTGTGTGTTTATAATGTGTGTATAAAATATCATTTTTTTTTTTTTTTATTACATTGTGACAGTACAATGACTATTTTGACGAGTGCACATGAAATGACCTGTTAAAATATCGTCTCACACAAGTTTGAAGGAATCGCTTTTAATGTCTACTTTATGAGCGTCAGAACGTGATCTGGTCGTACACCTCTCAATGGCCCTGTCTGTGCCACAGCCTATGTCAATGCATTGCTCATTCCTTTTAAAGTATTAAGGGATTATTTAATTTGAGGTTTCAGAGAGTCAGTGTGTCAAAATAAGGGATTCTGCACAGGGGGATGTGTTCTAGTGGTGGGGCAGGTACCTTAGATCTTCTGCTGATACTGTATAGTGGACAGAGCTTAAAATTCTTTATAATTGGGGATTTTAGGATTAGTGTGAAAGGTGGCCTGTCCAGTAATTCTTTCTTTACCTGAAATCATTTGACATATGATACAAGCAGGCTCCCTGATACATTGTACATGTTACCATTGCGCACAGTTGGAACGCCGCCACATACCAATGCTCAGTGTTATAAATATTGTAGTACAGAGGGTGGATTGGAATGTGCCATAGGAAGGATGATATTACTGATAACCCCATTCAGGACAAGGGGGTTGTAAGCACAAATATATCATGACTGGTATAGCACACAATCTCATTATGTATTTTAACTCCTTTGTGACATCATTAAAGGGACACTATTGTCACCAGAACAACTACAGCTTATTGTATTTGTTCTGGTGAGTATAATCATTGCCTTCAGGTTTTTTGCAGTAAACACTGTTTTAAATTTTTTTTTTTTTTTTACATTACAGCCTAGGGATACCTCCACTGGCCACTCCTCATATAGCTGTTAGATTTGTTTCCTGGGGCAGTGCTGCATATTTTTAACACTATAGGGTCAGGAATACATGTTTAAAACATGTTCCTTTAAGGTTAATTACTAAATTTGGCATTATGGATCAGTGATAATAGAATCACATGTTTTAGGGTAAAATAGAGTAACAGCATAATTTATATCCACTTCTTTTAATTTTTTTTATTTTTTTAATGTATTTTTGCAGTGCACATGATTGTAACATACAGGCCTGAGGTACCCCAAGCGTGGCAAAATGCAGTACATGTGGGTTACTTGAGATGGGATGCCCAATTTTACAATAGGATCATGTTAATAATAACATCGTTTTAACAGAGAAACTTCAGACATGTGAATTAACGTTTAACAGAAGTTTCTAAATAAGTTTCTAAATTGTATTTAGGTGTTCGTTTTATCAAGCTTGATATGTCAGAATAAATTATTGTAAATTCACGATAAGTCAGGCCAGGTATACATGTCTATACTGCTGTAACTCGTATGAGCGAGATATCTGAGTGTTGCAGGCAGAATATGTGTGGGTGCTTTATAATAGCAGAGTCATGTTAGATTTCCAAGCTAAGGAGACCACGGGTTCCCCGTCTCATTGTGCTGTGCGGATGGTGTAAGTCGGGCCTAGCCGCCCCAAGACGGGAGTGTTAGTAGGTGTGTCAAGTGTGGTTATATGCATCAGATCTGGTGGGTGTCAGTGCCAGGTATGTGTCTTGTGCGGGTGTCCGCTCTATGCAGTACCTTATCAGCTAATTGTGAGATCATAAGTTGTCTAAGTGCCAGTACACCCGCTTTCAGCCGGGCGGTTATGCAATAACATGTAGGCATACATACAAATCAAGTCACTGATCGCGCGACCCATGGGGTAGAATTGTAGATGCAGGCTGGCATGCCAAAATCAGGGGGGCAGTCCACCTTGCGAGCCAGACCTCTCCATACACCCGGACCGTAGCGAAGGCCTGCATCTCTGGGCCACGAATCTGGTTGTTCCTGTGGGAGGCCGGGTTCTTCCCTTGTAGGGGACAGCGTTGGATCCAGATGGGTATTCGCCACCTGTGGCGTTGGATCCTCTGCGTCGGTGGCCGATGCTCTGGGAATTTATCCCTTGTGGTCTTCAGCCCTAGTAGGCCCATCGTGTGAGGCTGTAGCAGTGCCGTGGAAAGAGAGCCCCAGGGCGGCCCGCTCCTCTCCTGCCCCTCATCTCTCTGCTTATTCTTCACTGCCGGAGCTTCAGGCTTTTCGAGGTGGTTAGGTATTTTGTCCCAGATGCTGATGTATGTCTCGACTGCGTGTTGGGATACGAGCTCACACGTGCACTGATTAGTCTCGACATAGTGCTTTGCACGTGGCTTTGGATTGTCAGCCATCTTGGGGTGTAAGGCCCGAAACGCAGTTGCAGCAGGACTGGTATTTGGGCGCAACTGTAAGCAGTGATTGTCGTCCGTGGGGACCGGGGATAATCCCCACCGGTCCAGAGGGGGGGGGGGGGACAGCAAGACACCAGTCGGAGAACTGGGAGAGCGGCCATCTCAACCCAGCTCAGGTAGGCCTCAGGCCTTGATCAGGTTGCTACAGCGCTGTAGGTGGTAGAGTAAGGTATCCCCGAGTTCACCGTCGGCTTATGAGTAGCAGGATCGCCGATTTGGGTCAGTATTAGCTTGAGGCACAAAGTTATCTCTGGTTTCCTGGCTCAGATGCGGGAGCCCAGACAAAGCATGTCTGATCCGATTGGTGGTCAGGCTCCGCCCCCTTATATCCACTTCTTAAACGGGCACTCCAGGCACCTACCCATATTTTTATGTAATATGCTTTTTAAAAAATCTATTTATTTTTGTTCTATTATCGCTAAAGTGCAATGTAGTGGTTCTGGTGCCTGGAGAGCCCTGACTTTTTTTCCCTCTCTCTTTTTCATTGCTTTTGGAGATTTCTAATGTATTTTTTGTGTGTAATGCATTCAAAATGGGTCAAATCCAACCTGGGGTGTCCTAATTTTCTAGTTGTTTTTTCTAGTTAAAAAAAATAAAAAAATAAAATATATATATATATATATATATATATATATATATATATATATATATATATATATATATATATATATATATATATATATATATATATATATCATACAGGGTTTCCTTGCACTCACGCTTGTAAATAGTTGTAAGCCGGGTGCTTGTAATCCAGGGAAAAATTGCATACGGTGAAATAGTGATCAGCACTCTCGGTCTTTTGTTGAGTTTAAAACTTAGTTTATTGAAATTCCATTTAAAAGATCAACGTTTCAGTTCCTATCTGGAACTTTCATCAGGATCAAACATCTTTTGATCCTGATGAAAGTTCCAGATAGGAACTGAAACGTTGATCTTTTAAATGGAATTTCAATAAACTGTAAGTTTTAAACTCAACAAAAGACCGAGAGTGCTGATCACTATTTCACCGTATATATATATATATATATTTTTTTTATATTCAGGATCTTCATCAATAAGGTAATTCCCTTTGTGCCAGTGATTTACTCCAGTTTCATGCTTGCGTACTATGACCTTGACCATCGATTGCCATTGATATGTCTTCTCTTGTTTATGTAATGTGTGTCTCATATATAATATATGTGTTTAAACACATTCGCCTGCATTATTGTTATTTGAAACACAAATAAATATTTAATGGGAAAACGGATACTATTGTAACATTTCAATAAATCTATGTGATGCTTACGTATGTCTCTCTGCTTCATCTTGTCTGCCAATGTTTACACCAATAATGACAAAAAAAAAAACAAGGATCAATCAGCCCTCGCTAATCTGTTAGAGCGCGTTCACGTAATTCTTTAAGGAGAGTCTAATTTTTATTTTTAGAACATTTGTATTTTACCTTTTATTTCATACTACCATTTTGTGACTTGCATAAATAATTATTTGCCAAGCTGAAGTGAGCTGCCAGAATTATCCAAAGAAAAATTTTGGAGTAACCCTTAAACTGTAAACCTAACACTTACCATGGCCGTTTCAGTGATTTGAAGTGGTCATGGTGGCAGGAGTCTGGATTTGCGGTTTCTGCTTGACACACTGCACATCCAGAGTTATTATTCATTGCGTGCTTGGAGCTAATTGCACCATCAGGACACACGTGACATTGGCATTTTAGAACTGTGTTCCCAACTGCCGAATGTCAATTCTGTGCATAAAAAAAAAAATCTGTTGTTACAAACACTCTGCTGACAAACGTAAAATCCTTCCCCTTGCAGATTGCTGCCCCCACTTAATAGCCCTTCTACCTCCCTATCCCATTCAATATTTTATGTTCCCCCCACTCCCCCTCCTCCTGAATTCAGCAGACCACCAAAAGACCTCAACATAGTTTAGACCAGTGTTCCCCAACCCAGTCCTCATGGACCACCAACAGTCCAGGATTTACGTATTTCCCGGATTTATTCCAATGCAAATACTGACACAACCTGGATTGTTGGTGGTCCATGAGGAGTGGGTTGGGGAACACTGGTTTAGACTACAGGCTTATCTCTGAAGAGTTCAGTAGCTTATTTTATCAAGGGTTATTTTAGTGCATGCGTAGGCAACTGTTGGCACTCCAGATGTCGTGGACTACAAATCCCCTGGTCTTTCACAAGCATTATGGAGGTCAGAGCATTATGGGAAATGTAGTCCACAAAATGTGTTGCCTACCCACGTTTTAGTGAATGCTCTGCATGCAGTGTTATTCAACAATTATCACCCCAGGAGCTATGTGTTCCTTATAAAATATTTTGTGAACAGTTAAACACATTGAATAAACGTTTAGGACAACCACACCCCATTCTTTACCTCGGAACAAAATGTCATCAATGTAAACTGGAGGGTGGTGTTAGATTTCTTTATTTTTTGTCTTCGTCATAGGTGAATTGTTTTGTCATTTTATGGATCTATATCATTGACCATGTCTCATTGAACATCAAGGCACAATTAGCTTGTGATAGGTTCAGCCATCAATATTTCTAGAGAATTTGCTGTTGATAAGGTAAACAGAAGCCGTCACGACAAATCCATTCTGAAAGGTGTGTCCATAGAAAGAACAAAAAAAAACATTTATATACACAACGAATGAAAAGAAAGAAAAAAAATAAATAAAAATAATCCTCAACAAATATGAGTCATTAAACACGCAGTAACTTTCTACGTGATGTTTAATCATAAATCTTTTGGCTGATTAATTAAACAATGTTTTTAAACTGCTAAATATTGTTTGATAAACTTTCCAAATTATGTAATATTTATCGATAAACGTTTGCATTTTTCTTTCAGTGTATGACAATATTTTTTAATCAATAACCCAATAACCAGTAAGCGTGTATTTAAAGGTCCCTTTTCTGTGTTCATCTTGGATATTTGTAGTTGGGTCCGTTTTAGGATGTGGAAACCAACTTGGTCTTCTGTACATTTGGGTTTGCCCGCACATTATAAAATTTCCAAAGCAATAGACCCGTCTATTGGACACGGGAGAAATTGCCATAGAGCTGCATTTACTGATCCACCGAGCGGAATCTGCCCTACGATGTATGAAGGCTGTCAACAGTGGCTTTAATACTTACTGCACCATTTAGTACATTCTGCTATTATGACTTAAATATGGAGTATAAAATAAATAAATAAACCCTTGCCGGGTCCATTCTGTTGGCGGCTCTGAATAAATAGTCCTAGAAGAAGCAATGATTAAAATTACAGATGAAACTCTTGCAGATTCTCAGGACAAAAACACTCCTTTCAAACAGCATTTATTTACAACATGGCTTTGGCAAAAGCAAGCAATACAAATTAGTATCTCTAATTTCACGTACTTGGTGGGGTTTTAAAGTGATTTTAAGTGGTCATGGTGCCTGGAGTCTGTATGTGCTGCGTTTTTGCTTTGAAACGTTGCACATACAGAGTTAAAACCTTCTGCTTCCAGAGGTGTAACTCCACCTCCGACAGCGTCATTGGGGTGTCTTTAGCCAATTAACAGAATGTCTGTCCGTCATTGGCTGAGAGCGGTGCTTTACCAAACCGCCTTGGAGCCCAGCGGCGACCCAGATAAGGGGGCAAACAGTTGCTGAATGGTTTGCCCTTATTTTCGGGGAACTGGTCCAGAGAACTCCTTGTACCATAACCGCTACAGCTGGCTATAGTGATCATGATGCGTGGAGTAATCGTTTAATCATAACCCACACGCTTTTTTAGATACTTATTTGTTTATCATTGTCTGAAATTGGTTAACCCCTTAAGGTCCTGAACCGTCCTAACGGTCCAATGTACTTACCCGATCGCCATCATTCCCCCGGCTGCGATCGGTGTTGCTCCCGGTGTGGGGAGACTGCCTGCAGCCCAGACAGTCTCCTAATGGCGGATTAGGACCCCTGGGGCCATGTAATCGCTCAACACAGCAATCACATGGTCACAGGCAGTCTCCCTGCTAGTGTAAAATAAAGAAATAAATAATAATAATAAAAAAAAAATATATATGTGTGTGTGTGTGTGTGTGTATATAAATATATGATATATAGGCATATATTTATATAATATGTCTATATATTATATATATAATGTCACACTAAGTGTATTTTTATATTAATATGTACATATATTAATATAAAAATACACTTGTAATTAAATTACACACGTGTATATTTATAATATAAATAACTATATATTGTATATATATTATTATAAAATACAAATAATAAGTAGATTAAATGAAAAAAAAGTAAAAATAATAAAAATTAAAAAAAATCTATATAAAATTGTATTCTAACTGTATTTTGATATTAATATATATATATTTATATCAAAATACACTTAGAAAGAAATTGTAGATATATCTATGTATATATAAATAAATAAAAATTATACGAAATATACATATGTCCATATACAAAATTACATAAATAATTATATAAGTATACACGTAGACTTCAAATATATAAATATGTATATATATTTAAATCCTACGTGCGTATTTATGTAATATTTTTACCTAATTAAGTAATTTTATTAATTGCAATTTGAGGGATCTGCCTGCCAACCCAGGCCAAAAGTCCAGAAAATTTAATTTGCTAGCACTGTATTTTACCCTGTAACTTTCTATGACACCCTAAAACCTGAACAGGGCGGGGTACCGTTTTACTCGGGAGACTTCGCTGAACATAAATATTAGTGATTCAAAACAGTAAAACATCACAGCGATGATATTGTCAGTGAAAGTCACTTTTTTTAAGCATTTTTCACACACAAACAGCACTTTTACTGATGATATAATTGTTGATACGTTTTCCTGTTTTGAAACACGAATATTTGTCTTCAGCAAAGTCTCCTGAGTATAACAGTACCCCCCATGTACAGATTTTATAGCGTTTTTGAAAGTTACAGGGTCAAATATATGGGTCAAATATTTTTACAATGAAAAAGGCCAGGTTGGTTACATTGCCTTTGAGAGCATATGGTAGCGCAGGAATGAGAATTACCCCCACGATGGCATACCATTTGCAAAAGAAGACAACCCAAGGTATTGCAAATGGGGTATGTCCAGTCTTTTTTAGTAGCCACTTAGTCACAAACACTGGCCAAATATTAGCATTCAATTTAGTTTTTTACTTTTTTCACACACATACAAATATGAACGCTAACTTTGGCCAGTGTTTGCGACTAGGTGGCTACTAAAAAAAACTGGACATAACCCATATTAAATACCCTGGGTTGTCTACTTTAAAAAAAAAAATATGTACATGTGGGGTGCTATTCAGAGATTTAGGACAGATAATAGTGTTACAGTGTCACTATTGATGCATTTGAAAAAATTTATGTTTTGAAACCGCAATATCCTACTTGTACCTATAGCCCTATAACTTGCAAAAAAGCATGTAAACATTGGTTATTTTAAAACTCAGGACAACATTTTGAATCTATTTAGCAGTTTTTTTTATTCGCTTTTGTAGATGAGTAAAAGATTTTTCAAGTGAAAGTAAAAAAATAATTTTTTTTCTTCAAGTTTTCATCATTTTTTTTTTTAAATTAAATTACATGAGATTATATAAATAATGATCTATAAAGAAAGCCTTTTTTTGTCCTGAAAAAAACAATATATAATTTGTATAGGAACTGTAAATGAGAGAGCGGAAAATTACAGCTAAACACAAACACCAGAAAAGTGTAAAAAGAGGCCTGGTCGCAAATGTACAACATCGCAAAAACAGTCCAGTCCTTAAGGGGTTAAAGGGAGACTCCAAGCGCCATATCATCTTATGTCCATTTTATAAATTCTGTTGTATCCCTGTTACTCTGGCGTTGTGTATAATTGCAGCATATTTTTTTTTTTTTCACACGTTGCCGGAGCCAGAAGCCTGCCCCTTTTCCCAGCAACGTCAAAAGGAGGAATTGTACTTTCTCCCATATACAATTTGCGCAACTCTAGAGAGATCTCAAGCCCTGGGGATTTTCATGTACAATTGACTGAGAGATTGCCTCAGAAATTCCCATTCACGGAACTGCCACCACGGAATGTCTGGTATCTGTTATTTGAGCAGTTCTACTGAACAACTGTGATTGGGTACGGAACTACAGCTGTACAGGAGCCCATAAACCTGGCCTCTGATTGGTGGGATTTCTTCCTGGTCTAGTATGCGGTCTGCTGCTTTGGTTGGCACTATATTGGTAGAAGCAGCATTTTGGTGTGTGTGTGTGTGTATGTGTATATATGTATATATGTGTATATGTGTATATATATATATTATGCTGTATGTGTTCCAAAAAATTATTTAGCCACTAAGTGACCTGGCTATGCCCAGGCCTCCTCACAGTCTGGTCTTATTAGCCATCATGGTCTCTCTATATCACACCTTGAATATGTTAGACGAGCATTTGCCTCTCACCTTTGTGATTACCGTAATCGTTGACTTGTGGGATCCATAATACAGTAGCCATTTGCCCTTTTGTCTTAAAAATATGAACCTGGATCTCCAGCCCATTGCCATTGGCTAATGTGTAATTAGTTGACCTTTAATTGTGTGTTTATAATTTTGAAGTTCTCAGTAATTTATGTGCAGTAACTATTTTTTTTTTTTTTTTTCTTTCTACATCCGATTAATTTCCCTGATGGGGGGGAGCTACAGTGTTGGCAGCAATTCAGCGCCTACACCTGCTCTTTAAAAAAACAAACAAAAAAAACCTATTTTCTATTCAACAAATGATGTCACAGTGTTAAACAAATGAAGGGATTATCTTGGCTGTCTCTCAGAGACTGATGAGCTTTCTCTTGAATATGCAGTCATAGGCGCAGTGCCTCAATGCATTTACTGTTTAAACTGTGCCAAAAATGGGTTCGGCATCTAATTTGTGAAATCTAATGAAAGCGTATTAAATCTCAGCTAAGCATTGTACCAGCAGAGTTGCTACGACCGTATCGATTTTTCAATAAATCTGAATAAATATGGTTGCTCACCTGACAGTCCATTCTTGACAAACGGCCTTTTACTG